GGGACAAAGAAGCTGTCAAAGATATCCGCATCCCCTTTAACTCGTCGATTACTAAACTAAATCAAAGACATTACCAACACATTATGGTGGAGACATTATGGTGGAGACATTATGGTGGAGACATTATGGTGGAGACATTATGGTGGAGACATTATGGTGGAGACATTATGGAAACAACATGCTGATGTGATATAGTATACTACGTGACATACATAATATAACATACATGGTGTAATATACATGGTGTAACATACATAATTTGCATCCTTGTTGGCAAAAGATCCTAATATGATTTTGCCATTGCATGTGGAAAGATTTGGAACATCATAATTTGGATCGAATTGTAAGAGGTAAGATTCGAGTTCTGTCTGTAATTGCTGATTTAGGACATGGTAGAAATTATGATCATTACTTGATTTTATATCTAGTAGTAAAAGTACAGGATGTTGGCTATAAATGAATGCGCAAGATTTGAGTATGAAACAGAACTTTGAAAGTGTCATTTCCAATTGGCTATCTTCGTCCGGTTTAACAACGGGATGTATGTCATCATTATTCCTTTTCCGTGGTTCATTTCGTTCTACTTCCCTTTGCTCTACTTCCCCGAGTAACTCATTACCGAGTAACTCATTACCGAGTAACTCATTACCGAGTAACTCATTACCGAGTAACTCATTACCGAGTAACTCATTACCGAGTAACTCATTACCGAGTAATTCCTTGTTGAGTAATTCCTTATCATCTGATAGCTTACTTTCTTCAACTATGTGTGTTGAATTTTGAATGTAGATGACAAGGCATCGGAATCCTTTCTGAATAGTTTTAGTTAATGCTACAGCCATATCTGATTGATTGATATAATTTAGACCGAATGGAGTGTATGTTGCTCGTATCCAATAGTGTGTTAGTGGAGCATCTTCTCGTGGTTCAGAATCCGCTTGATGTATGTTGAGTATATTATTTAAATTATGTTTAACAAGTTGATTAACAGCTAGATATGTTAATAATTTATCAAATACATAGTATCCACCACGACTAGTAATATCGTTAATAAGCCACTGTGATTTTTCTCGAGTTTCTAATTGTATATCTTGTAAACTTTCTACAATTTGATCAATAGAACAAAGATCATTATCACCATTACCAAGATGAAATGTTTGTTTAAGGAATGATACATCAAGAAGGTCATTAAGTATATGATTAAATTGCGGTTGACCTATAATACCAGACTTATCTACATCTTGTTTCTTAAATAATGTATAACAATGTCCGATATCTGCATGCAAATCCAAAACCTGTAGTAGTCGTAATACGTCACGGAACTTACATAATTCCGAATGTAATTGTCGTGTCCATAAAGTTTTTACGAATGGATGATGATGTCGATAATTTTGTTGTACATGACTCGACTTCGCTTTATGCCATAATACAGCCAATGCTAATAACCATTGTCGACATTCCTTTGGTTCATGAGCTAGAAATCTATAATGCCGTCTCCAACCACCTGCTAATCGATGTCGGACAGGTTTATATATCGAGTTGCTCCTTTGCCCTTCTAGAAATTCCGCTGATAAATTACGAGATGCCACACGTGAATGACGCTGACTTAACCCTTCTAATCCCACCGCCTCTACCCCTCCAGGATCATGTCCTGTTCTTCTTGACCAACACCCACCTATATCACACACGTGTTCGGAACTACTTGAACTCAAATTATTTCGACCACGATTCACACTATTTCCAAACTTGACACCATTTCCCAACTTGTCTGCTACATCATCAGGGTAACCTGTATCAGCACCTGTATTAGCACCACGACGTAAACGCTTTAGAACTGTCGCACTACCTTTACGTGTACGCACTTCAAACGCCTGGTCCGGAACCGCCGGCGCGGATCCGAAGCCGGGTAGCACTCGTTTCTGAAAGAACGTACTACGCGGTCCTGAAACAATTGATTCAACTAAACTAAGTGGTAACACAGCTACACACTCATCTTCAGTTTCCCAACATAACGCCATTCTCTCGGTGTCCAACCATACCCACCTTATCATCGGTCGGTGCCAACGTGAGTGCAGCTGAAGAAACGATCCTTCCCGAGCAAATTCGACACAGTTCACACCATTCAATGCACGGCAACCTGCAGCCGCCTCCGGATCCAATGTCAATTCACTTAGGACGTCACCGACGGAGCCTGGACTCGAACCCACAACCTGACCACCGGAAACCGTCTCGCCACCTGGACCTCCCACACCCTGCACCACACAGCCGTCCCCCGCCACCTCCAGCTCACCCGTAGGTTCCACACTCCTCATCGCCAAGCTTGAGTAACTCAACCCATGCGCACCCAGCCCCGCCTGACTAGGACGCACCGGCGGTCCCGCACTTGACCGCGATCCCGCCGTCTGAAACATCACCTCCGCCTTCGCCGACGTCCCCAGTAACGGCTTCCCTGCCCCGGGTGAGGCCGCCCGGGCCGGAAGGGTCGCCAGAACCGGGGCCGCAGGTTCGAATTCAACCTCCGCCTCTGAGACGACCGAGGCCAACACGACGGGGTCCGCGGTCACCACTGGCGGCGCGGAACTGAGGGGGCGCCGCAAGGTTTCGCCAGTCTTGGACTTTTTTTTGGAGATCGGGGACAGTAGTGATTTTGCTGTTTTCAGCCATGGTTCGTAGGCAACTATATTCGACTTGACATCTGGCTTATGACTCGACTCGTCAGCATCCAACTTCCCGTCTGACTTGGTACCTGGTTTGCTGCGTGACCTGTGATGGTCTTGGGATGTAGGTAGGTTTGTTTCTGTTGGCCCTTTTTCAAACAACATGTTTGGTAAGGGCGGCAGGGTAGCCGACTCTGTGGTCCTAACGGCTGCAGTTCGGGACTTTACACCAGGCAAAGTCAAACGGTACGCATCGGTCGGGGAGGTGGCTCTTCGAGGTGTGTTCTGAGCCGACTCCTGACTAGTGACGCCAAGATATCCGACGCCAAGATATTTTGACGTCTTACTAAACCGTTTATGGACCTGCAATCGACCAGTCTTGTGCAGCCGGCCCCGATTGACCAGACGACTACTCAACTGTACAGGAGGAGGACTGTTCTTACTTCCCAATAAGGCACTCGATTCATTACTTATCCGATAGCATCCATCTCCCATCTCACCATTCAACGTCTGTCCGTCCAATGCTTGTTCTGACCTCACATGTTCTGACCTCACATGTTCTGACCCCATTTGTCCCAACTTCCGCTGTCGGGATACCCCCCATCCCCCGTAGGGTCTTCTTGACTCCTTGCTATTTACAGCTCTCGGTGTACTCAGATCTCCGGCAGTCGTTTTAATATTCGTATATGATCGCTGTCGACTATTTCGATGGAGATCCCTTTCTCGCTCGACATCTTTCAATTTTCTACCAGACGCATCTTGAATCATAGATCCGTAAGGAACTTTGACCTTATTAGCTTCTAAC